AGAACTTTCCAGACTTCCCCTTTCCTTCCAGCAATCACCTCCTAGTCCCAGAATCCACCACCTAATAATCATTTAATGAAACTACTGCTTTAAAGTCAGCACAGAAAGACAGATTTGAGACTGACTTCTCTTTTTGTGAATTGATTTGCAATAAAAGCTTTTCTTTTCCTGAAAAACCCAGTGCCACAGTATTGAAGCCATGTCTACAAGAGTTAAATAAAGCAGTAAGTAACAAAAATTCTTGAATTTTCAGGATGGCAAATAACAATAAAGACCTCATCTCTACAATAAATCAAAAAATTCGCTAGATGTGGTAGTGTGTGCCTGTAGTTCCGGCTACTTGGAAGGCTGAGGTGGAAGGATTGCCAGAGCCCAGCAGGTCAATGCTGGGGTGGCTGTGAGTGTGCCACTGCACTCCAGCCTGGGCAACAGAGTGAGACTCCAATTCAAAACAAATAAACAAATAAATAAAATGAAGACTAGAAAGACAGTAGAAAAGATCAACAAACTATGAGTTGGTTATTAAAAAAAAAAATCAACAGAATTGACAAACTTTTAGCGAGACTACCAAAGGGAGAAAAAATGAGACAAATAAAGAAAATTATAAATGAAAGATGAGACATTACAACTGATATCACAGAATACAAAAGATCATAAGAGACTACTATGAACAAGTACATGCAATATACTGAATTAGAAAAAAATGGATAAATTCCTAGAAACATACAACCTACCAAGACTGAATCAAGAAGGGAAACCCTTAAGAGGCCAATAATGAGGAAGAAGATATAATCAGTAATCAAAAACCTCCCAATAAACAAAAGTCATGAATTCATGGGTAAATCCTACCAGGCACTTAAAGAAGAATTAATATCAATCCTTCTCAAATGCTTGCAAAAAACTGAAGAGGTAGGAAAACTTCTAAACTCATTTTACAAGGCCAGCATTACTCTCATAGAGAGCCAAGAAAGAATGTTCCAGAAAAGAAAATTGTAGCCCCAAATCCCTGAAGACCATAGATGCCAAAATCTTTACCAAAATACTAGCAAATCAAATTCAATAGCACATTTAAAAGATCATACACCATGATCAAGTGGGATTTATCCCTGGAATACAAGGATGGTTGAACATATGCAATTTGATGAATGTGACACACCATATTAACAGAATGAAGGATAAAAACTATATAACCATTTCAAGCACTTTAAAAAAAGTATTTGACAAAATTCAACAATCTCTCATGATAAAAACTATCAACAAATTAGATAAAGAAGGATTGCATCTCATCATAGTAAAGGTTACATATGATAAGCCCACAGTTTATATCAAACACAATGGTAAAATGCTGAAAGCTTTTTTTTGAGGTCAGGAATAAGACAAGAGTTCCTGCTCTTGCCATTTCTATTCATAATACTAGAAGTCCTAGCCAGAGCAATTAGGCAAGAAAAAAAATGATATGCATCTAACTCAGAAAGGGAAGAAGTTAGACTGTTTGTTTGCAGATGGTACACTCATATAATAGTTATGATATGATTATAGTAGATAACCCTAAATATGTCACAAAAAAACCTGTTAAAATAAAAGAATTTGGTAAAGCTGTAGGACAAAAAAAAATTAAAAATCAATTGCATTTTTATACACTAACAACAAAAAAGAAATTAAACAATCCCATTAATAATAGCAGTAAAAAAATACTTAAAAATAAATGTAATCAAGAAGATGAAAGATCTATATACCATTTATAAAGCTATAAGACATTATGAAAGAAATCGAAGACACAAATAAATGAGAAGATATCCCATGTTTATGGATGAGAAGAATTAATATTGTTAAAATGTCCATTCTACCCAAATGATCAACTGATGCAATTCAATCCCTATCAAAATTCCATTGGATGTATTCCAGTCTCAGCAATGCAGTAAGACCCGTCACTTCAAAAAAAAAAAAAAAAAAAAAAATTCCAGTAGCATTTTTCATAGAAATATAAGAAAAAAAATTCTAAAATTTGTATGGAAACACAAATAACCTCAAATACACATAGTAATCTTGAAAAAGACCAATCCCGGAGGCATCATACTTCCCGATTTCAACTATATTACAAAGATATAGTAATCATAATAGTATGATAATGACATAAAAGCAGATAGACAAATGGAATACAATAGAGAGTTCAGAAATAAACCCACACATATAATCTTTGACAAGGGTGCCAAGAATACAAAATGGGGAAAAGAGTAGTGTCTTTAAAAACAGTGCTGAGAAAACTGGACATTCACATGGAAAAGAATGAAATTGATAATCATTGAATTTTATATATCTTACTCCATATGCAAAATTAACCCAAAATGAATTAAAGCCTTAAAATGTAAAACTAGAAACTGCAAAAACTCCGAGAAGAAAACATAGGGCAAAAGTTCCATGACATTGGTCTTGGCAATGATTTTTTCTATATGACACCAAAAGCACAAGGAACAAAAGCAAAAATAAACAAGTAGGACTTATGCATAGAAATAAAACATTTAACACTTATGCATAGAAAGAAAACATTTAACAAAATAAAAAGACAACCCACAGAATGAGAGAAAACATTTGCAAGCTACAAGTATATATCTGATTAGTATTAAAAATATATCACACTCACAAAGAAGGACAAAATTATGGACTTCGGAGCAACTTGGATAGATTTAGAGTCTATCAATGCTCAGTGATCTATCACAGAAACAAAGAACTGAGCACTACACATTCTCACTCATAAGTGGATCCTGAACATTTATCATAACACTACATGAAAGAGTTTGGCAGTAGCGAATCACTGCCGTGGAGAGAGGTGCACATAACATTAATAAGAGGACCTGATGCCAAACCATTTATAGGGAAATCTAAACAAGAAAATTAATAGACTTAGCCTCTAACTGATTTCTCAGAAAATACAAGCTTTCAGTCTAGAGACAACCTATACACTATAATTTGAGCAAATGTAAAAATGAAATGGGAATTTTTGTATAATATAAAAATCACCAGAGGCAAAGACAAAAGTTTGTTTTTTTTAATTCTTATACTTAAGGATCTTGAAAATGGTCAGTGAGAGGATATATTCTATATAATATAAATCCTTTCTATTTGTACATTCATTAGTCTAAAGGTTATTTCTCTAATGTTTGGTTGTGTTTTACTCATTATTTGTATGACTGCATTTTAATCTGCCTTCCTGGAGTTAAATCACTAGTCTAATAAGTTATATTCCAGATTCATTATCTTTTCTGTTTAAGACAGGAAAAGAAATTGACTGGGGTACCTTTACTTTCCATTTTTGTTTTCAGTGAAATATTATTTAACATATACTAAATGGCACTGTCAGGAATCATAATACATTTAAAGCAGATTTCAACTAAAAAAAAAAGTAACATTGATTTATATAAATTTGTCAAGGGTCCATTTATTATAGTCACTTTTCATTTGTACATATAGTCTATGCTCAAATTAAATGTTCAAATTATATTTACAAAGTAATTCCTTAAGTAATTACTTTATTTCAGCCAGGGCTCAGTGGCTCATGCCTATAACGTCAGCTACTTAAGAGGCTGAGACAGGAGGATCACTTGAGGCCAGGAGTTCAAGACCAACCTGGGTAGCATAGCAAGACCCCATCTCTAAATAATAGAATGAAATAAAAATTTTAAACAGTTGTTTGTTTCAATTTAGAAAAGACCTGAACAATAAATTTTCAAGTAATTTAATTAAATCACTCAAATCTTAGAATTAAATATTCCATCAGAGGTCAATGGCCAAAAATCTCCTTTACATACCACACAGTCTATTCAAGTCAAACCCTCTCCAGATCAGTATTTTCTTACAAAGTTGCAATATGCAAAGAACACAAGCACAAAACTCCATTTAGAAAAAGCTTGGTGCTTAGAATCAGCTTTAGGGTAGACAAGTAGTAAGAACAGAATTAGTCAGTACTTGGTCTAGTGGCTTAAGTATGGCCTGACTGAAAGCTGGGTTAAAAATAACAAAGGGACTGCCTAATGTGTGGCCTAATCATTCAATGCCCCTTGAAATACATGCTATCATATTTCTGTAGATAATTAATGCTAAAATGATTCCATTAATTCGATAGATTATATTTATAATTTCACCTCAGACAGCAGAGCAACTTTTCAAAATTGTTATATTGCTGATGATGTTAATATATAGGACTCTTTTGTTTGTATGGGGTAATTCTTTTCATCTTCACAGTGGTAGGTTGTGCTAATTCAACGATTTTTCTTTTATTGTTCACTAATGAGACAGTAATTGCCATCAGACTCCTACTGGGAACACAGACTTTTAAATATATTAGGCCTAAGGACAGGTTTCACTGTATTTATAATGATTCTGAGATACATTTTATTCTGCATGAATACACCAGCATCAAAATGTTTTCTTCTCTATGGAAGATAAACTGCATATCATTTAGCAATGTGTAAACAGGAAAAACAAATTTAACGAGGCAGATCTCAGATTTCTCTTGCTAGCAACTAAATGGAAGAACAATCAACAGAATGCTCCTTTTTATTAAAAACCTATTAAGCTTTAGGTAGAAATCCCAAAAAGGGGCTATTTTCAAGTTTTTAATGTTTGAATTAGAAACTAACTGCCAGTCTCAGTGTGAGTTTCAATGTACCACAAAGTCAAAAGTCATGTCCTGTTTCGAGTATGACTGTATATAAAGAAAGTTAAAGATATTTTAATGTATTGATGGCTAACACCACTATCTTTGAGTTTAGGGTATAAAGACTTCTAGAAATACATTTAAAGTAATATTTTCTGGTGATATATTTTGGTTGATGAACTGCATTTGGCAATTATTGTCCTTTGAGATCTCAGGTAGTCTCCTGCTCTTAAACACAGTAGGTATCTTTTACCACTCAAGAGTGAGACTACAAAAGTTCCAGTTTCCCATTCTCAGATTATAATCTTTTCTAAATCCCAAATGAAATGTAAAGTGAGAATAGTACCTTTCATGGTGTCCTAAATCCGAAAGAAATTCATCTGCATGTCTTTGGAGTTCAATTCCTTCTAAGGACTTTAATTTCTTCAATTCACTCTGTAGAAAAAACCAGAGCTCTTTAGCTCCATTTTCAATCCTCCTCCTCAGGATTTCATGATCCTTCCCCAGACCTGCAGTAAAAGAATAAAGAGTAGAAGCATGTTCAACATTTTGGAAAAAGGAAATTTTCAATTATTTGTACTAAAGTCAATATACTGAGGGGAAAAACATAATGTATTAATCACCTACCATTTCTGGTTTGTTTCTTGTAATTTTCAATCTGTTCTTTGGCCTTAACAAGCTGCTCTTCTAAAACACGTACCCTTCCTGTAGCTGGCCCCTGATCAATGGGGCCTTCTGGTATCCTATAGTTCAGGGAAGAAAATATAAACATTTAGCTTTTAAATTATGCAATAAATACAAGTTTACTTTGCTAAACATATGTACTAGTAATTCTACAAGTTATTAAGCCATATAGCACAAAAGTAGTACCAAATGTAATTTTCTCTTCAAAGGTATGGGATAAACCATAACAATGAAATGATATTAAACAAGAACAGAAAATTATAACCTAGCTCAGAAATCCTTGCTTTTCTAGGAGCTATGAAACTTTTAGAGCTGTTTCCTAAAAACTTTCATCCTATAACTTAGTGGTCAATTCTTCATTACTGTTGAGAATAACAAAAGTGAAGGCAAGGGTGAAGAAAACGCTGAAAGGGAACAGGGAGCTCATATTTTTTTTTTAGTTGGAGTCTCACTCTGTCGCCAAGACTGAAGTGCAGTGGCCGCTCCCGGTCACTGCAACCTCGACCTGCTGGGCTCCTGCGATCCTTCCGCCTCAGCCTTCCAAGTAGCTGGAACTATAGGCATGCACCACCACACCCGGCTAATTTTTGATTTATTGTAGAGATGAGGTCTCGCCAAATTGCCCAGGCGGGTCTCAAACCTGCGGGCTCAAGCAATCCACTTACCTCAGCCTCCCAAAGGCACAGGATTATAGGCTGAGCCACCGAGCCCAGCTTGAAGCATACATTTTAACAGATGTCTACGGACATGCCCAAATATCACATAAAAAGTCATTTATAAATTAATTCCGATATCAGGTTATGTAAATCTTTGCTTTAATTCATGAATTCATGACTTTAGATTATTAAGCATTGGTTTCACACAGGAAAAAGACAAAAGTAGAAGATAAACTATATCAGAAAAAAATAGGTTAATGTCTTGTTCATTTCCATAAGAAACAAAAAAATCAGTAAATAAATATAAAATGTTGTATCACAACACAAAAACTCCACAATCTTTTGTTTATATGATCAACCTATCTGATAATATATATTATCATACTGTATCTTTGACTTCTTTTCAAACATGCTGCTAACATGTTTTGTTTTTAATGTAACTTGTATTCCATTTTGACATACAAACAATGTGTAATAGGCTAAACAAAGGTTCTCCAGAGACACCCACACCCTAACCCCTGGGACCTGTGAATGTTACCTTATATGGCAAAAGGAACTTTGAATATGTAATTAAGTTAAGGATTTTGAGATTGGGAGACTGTCTTGGATTATAATTGGGGTTATACTTGTAACCACAAGTGTCCTTCTAAAAGGGAGGTAGAGGGAGATTTTACTACAGAAGAGGAAAAGGATATGTGGACAATAGCTTTGAAGATGGAGGGAGGGGCCATGAGTGAAGACTGTACTACTTTAGGAACTGGAAAAGCCTAAAACAAACAAACAAATCAGATTCTCTCCTAGAGCTTTTCTAGAAAATGCAGCCCTTCTGACATTTTAGTTTCAACCCAGCAAACTTCACTTCAGATGTCTGTCCTGTAAAACTGTAAGATAATAAATTTTTATTGTTTCAAGCTACCAAGTTTTTGCCACAGTAGCAATATGAAGCTAATATCCTGATATGCACGTATATAAACTTCTGCAAAGTTATTGTGAAGATTAAATGACTAATTTTTCTTTCAAAGTCTATTGAAAAGAGAAAATGTTGGTAAAAGTACTTACTACCGTGTCTGATAATAAATCTTATGAAGGCTTATTATATTTGAGTTTAGCCATTTTAGTGATGAGGTGTAATATCCAAAAGTTTGGCATATCTATTCCTGCCACCACAATCAGTGTAAATCACTTAATTTTTACATTATAGTCAGCAGAACTTAAATTCGGATGTCAACATAGTCCTTTGATACAAAGACTCTGATATAGCAGAGGTTTTTTTTTTTATGGCTTTTCTAACATTTTTTACATAATTGACAAAGACAGAGGAACTGCCAACTGCACTACTTCAGAATACATATTTAGTAAGTAGGTATTGTTACAGTTATACCAGAGTAATTGGAGGCATTTAAAAATTTCCTATAAAACTGTATGCACCGAGTCTCCTGCACTCTTTCTAAAGATGACTGACCAGGTGGGAAGCGGCAAGATGGTGACGGGGCAACCCGGTCTCTGAAGCCCTCTGCAAAGGAGATCTGCAGTGGGTCTCTGACTCCCGCCCTGGGGGGCTGTGGACCCCAACACCGCAGCCTGCTCTTCATACAGAGCTCGGCCGTGGCCACTGTTGGGACATCGCAACGGACTGGACAGTCACTGTGGCGCAAACAGTGCTGCTGCCGCAGCCCCTCCCCCCACCACCGCTGCCGCAGCCTCTGTGACAGCCGTAGCACATCACACCACCCAGGCCCGAGGCGATCCACATCAAACCCCTTCAGGGAAGATCTGCTGGGATCGCTGCCACCTCTCCTGCGACCGAGACTGTCCTGCCCGCCCGCCATAAGGCTCCTGTTGCCTGCTCTGAGGCAAGCAGCCATCTTGTTCCTATCCGGCCCCACCCCTCTGGGGTGAGCAGCTGAGATAGCACCACCTGCTGGCAATTCAAGGTAACAACACCGATACGGGAGAAACAAGCTTGATAAAGACATAGACCAGAGTGCTGAACAGAGGGTAATCTGAACTGTCCTTCACAGCAGACCAGGGGCAACTGACCCGAACTGCAAACTAATTTACCAGCTTGAAAAGAAAACTAGAAATCAGACCTGAAAGGACATTGGACTTAAACGAAATGTCTCAGAGTGTGCTTCATTGATTCTATTAGTTTGATGACTTAATTCTATTCCTACTGTATTGTCCCCTTTTTTCTTTTTTCCTTTTCCTTTTCTTCTCTCTTAAACCATATCTTTGTATAGAGGAACTAACAATGTGGTTTGTTAGCTTATATGTTAGCATCACTATATGTTTTATTTTTATTTTTCATTTTTTGTATGAGAGTTGGTTCATTTGTAGCTGTGGTCTATTGTTTTTATCTGTTTCAGTATGGGCCTCTCTCTCGATTTGTTGGCACACTCGTTTTTTTCCCCCCTTACTCCTCTATCTCTCCACTCCCCTCTTCAACCCACTATCTGCTCCATTCTCTCCCCTCTGCTAACCACATTTTATTTCAAGGAGTAAACCTATAGCCCCACTGCACGGACAGATTCCAGGGCAGTGGGAAGTGGGTTCCACATTATCCACACGCATGTCAGAGAATACCAGGACCTGCAGACAGAATTTGAATCACAGCTCTCCCCTTAAGTAAATCTCAAAACTGCAAAAAGGACCACCTCCAAACTATGCTGCAACTCCAGAATTGAACAAAGTAAGAGGACATACATAAAGAATAGGAGATTGAACAAACAGAAGTAAAACCAATCCCTTTACCCCTGAATAACAGAATTAAAGAAGACGGTGATGTGGAGGGAAGGAAAATGTAGGCAGGGGGAAAAACCACACAAATGAAGAAAAACCAAAAGAAGAATATAGGTCTTACAAAGACCCCTGGGAAATCAGACACAGAAAACAGATTCTGGAACACAAACAATGAAGAGGCCCCAGAATGACTGGTTACATGCAACAAACCCAGACATCAAGACATTAATGGAGAGAATTTAAAAACTGAGGAGAGACAAGAGGAAAACAGGAAGGAGCTGATGTCAGAAATGACAGCAGTAAAGAATACTGTGATGGAAATGAACAGCAAACTAATAAGCATGGAAAGCAGAATCAGTCAAGCAGAAGAATCTTAGAGCTCGAAGACCAAAACACAGAACTAACCCAAACTGTCAAAAGCATACAAAAGAAGCTCACAAAGACAGAACAAAACCTGCAAGAGATGAATGATCACTTCAAGAGACCAAACCTAAGAGTAATTGGGCTTCCTGAGGCAGAGTGAGAAACAGAAGCCACACTGGAAAAAACATTTCATGAAATCATTCAAGAAAACTTCCCTCATCTCATCAAGGATGAAAAAATTCAAACACAAGAGATTCAGAGAACCCCTGCAAGACAACAAATGAGAAGACCTG